ACCGCGAGAAAGTGAAGAGGGAGGGCACAAAGAGTGCTCTTGATCAGAGCAAGTCAGCCTCTGAAGGATAGTTGTCTATGCGACCAGCCAGAAATCCGGTCAATCATCCTCTGACGGACGTCGATGAAAATCTCATGAGAGAGATGGCCTTTGTACAGGGGGGCCCCAAGGTAAGGGGTGGGTAAATCTCCACGAGCAAATCCAGTGCGCTCGTGGATCCGGTGAGCCCACTGATCTATAATGTGGTGATCCATGATAAAGGTGCTCTTGCTAACACTGACTAGCTGGCCAGATGTCTCATTGTAGTGGTCCAAGAGCCTCATGAGGTCTACTAGCCCATTATATTTTGCACGAGTGAAAATGATAATGTCATCCGCATAAGAAAGATGGAAAATGGGAGGCCCACAACCACGCGTGCTGTAGGTCATCCTCGGAAAGTCGCGAATGAAGCTGTCAAAGTAGCGAGAGAGATAGTCAGCCACCAGAACAAAAAGGGAGGGGGATAAGGGGTCCCCCTGACGAAGGCCGCGGGTAGAAGGGAAGAAGGTCGTGGGGCTGCCATTAATCAAAACGGAGAACGTGCAGTGCTCCACACAAGCCTCCACACAGCTAACCCAACGGTTGGGGAATCCCATCCAAAACAGTACCTCCCTGAGAAACGACCACTCGACCCTATCATATGCTTTGGCCATGTCTAGCTTCAGCACAAGGTTCGGGGTTCGTGTCCGACTCGCATGGGAGATATCGTGTATCATCTCTTGAGCCAAAAGGATATTATTGTTAATGACTCGATCTTTGATGAATCCACTCTGGTTCGGAGAGATAAGGTGGGGGAGGAGAGGGGATAGGCGCCTGTTGAGGATTCTAGAGATGATCTTGTTAGTCACGTTGCATAAGCTGATCGGTCTATAGTCGGACCAAGAGCTAGGTCCCGATTTCTTCGGGATCAAAATGATGGAGGTCGCTGTGAAGGTCTCTGCATCTGGTGGCAGAGAAGAAATATCTCACAGCTTCCTCTACGTTAGTTCCCACAATCTCCCAGCAAGACTGGAAGAAGAGGGACGAATAACGATCCGGTCTGGAGACGATGTTGGGATCGATCCCAAACAAAACCTCCCTGACTTCCTCCTTACTCGGGAGGTTACAGAGGTCGACGAGGTCGACCGACTGCGGGATGGTCGGAAAAAGAGTCGGGTCAGGGTGCGTAAGCAAGTCTCGCTCAGAGGAAAAGAGAGAGTGGAAATAAGCCTTAGCCAACTCTTATATCTGGGACTCCTGGGTCACGGATGACCCGTTATCTTCAATACAGTGGATATACGACTTGACTCGCTTCTGCCTCACGAATCCCTGGAAGAACTTGGTATTACACTTCCCCTCAGCCACCCAACGCACAGCAGCCTTCTGCTTCCAGAAATCTTCCTCTATGAGGAGGCGCAACTGGTACTCAGCATGGCAGCAGCGCATCTCGGACCTATTCTCTTGCGAAGGGTCCAAATCATAGGTCCGTTCTGCCTCCGCATATGCAGTCTGAGCTGCAGTAAGGCGCTGAGAAATGTCACCAAAAATCGTCC